TTTTTATGTTTCAATTTCAGTAATTTCTTCTCTGATCTTCTTTCCTTGTACTAGCTTTGAATTTGTATTCTTGTTCTTCTAGGATGTGGAGGTGCGTTATTAGGTTATTTAGGATCACTCTTTTTCTGATGTGGACATGCACAGCTATAAACTTCCCTCTCAGGACTGCTTTCATTGTGTCCCATGGGTTCTGCTATGTTCTACTGACATTATCATGTTGTTCTAGAAATTGTTTAATTTCCTTCTCTTTTTGTTGGTACCAGAGATTGAACTCAGGACCTTGTGTTTGTGAGGCAGGCGGCGGAACCACTGAGCTAAATCCCTAGCCCAAAATTGTTTAATTTCTTCCCAGATTTATTTTCTGACCCAGCGATTATTCAAGAGTGTATTATTTAATTTTCACGTTTGTATAATTTAGTTTTTTGCCATTGATTTCTAGTTTCATTGTGCTATGATCTGATAATATGCACGGGATAATTTTGATTCTTTTGCATTTACTTAACCATGTTTTTTATTGGTCTGTGAAAGTTCTTTGTGACGCTGAGAATATATATTCTGTTGCTGTTGGGTGGAACACTCTGTATACATCCATTAAGTCCTTTTGTTCAAAAGGTTTGATTCAACTCTGATATTTCTTTGGTTTTTTGTCTAGTTGATCTATTTGTGACAGAGGGGAATTGGGGTCCCCCACTATAATTGTGTTGATGTTTATCTGATCTTGTGTCCAATAGTGTTTGTTTTAAAAGTTAGACTGCATATGTTTCTAATTGTTGTCTCTTCCTGTTCAATTGCTCCCTTAACCAACACTGTAGCAACCTTTTTTGCTTGTCTGATCAGTTTTGGCTTGAAGCCCACTTTGTTTGAAAATAAAATAGCTACTGCCACTTGTTTTCATGCTCCTGTTATATGGAATAGTTTTCCATCCTTTGAGTTTTAGTCTAGGAATTTACTTTTGGGTCAAGCATGTTTCTTGTGATAAGTACCATTTGGGTTTTTTTTTTGATCCAGCCAGTTGATCTGTGTCTTTTGACGGGGGATTTGAGACCATTCACATTGACTTACTGCTGAATGGTACTGACTTATTCCTGTCATTGCACTATTTTCCCGTTGCTAAATCCTTTTTTTCACACTATCTGTTGAAACTACTCACTCTACCCGGTATACTTATTCTGTTAGATGTTTTGGCATTGCTGGCTTCCTTGTCTCTTTTTAGGATATCCTTGACAGCTTTTTTGTATTGGTTTCATGGTCAAGAACTTCTTAAGGTGTTGGTTCTTTTTTTTTTTAATGGAAAGATCTTACATCTGCATCAATTTTGAAAGATAGTTTTGCAGGATATATTAGTCTGGCCTTTAAGGTTTGTGTTGATCTGACTCCTGTAATTCTTTTTTTTGGTACCAGGGATCGAACTTGGGTTCTTGTGCTTGCGCAGCAGGCGGCGAAACCACTGAGCTAAATCCCTGGCCCTGACTCCTGTAATTCTAATGGGTTTATCTTTATAAGTCATTGTTACTTTTCTCTAATAGATATTAAGATTCTGTCCTTGTGTTGTACTTCTGGAATTTTGATTGTGATGTGTCCTGGAGTTGTTCTTTTCTGATCATGGCTATCTGTAGTACTATACACCTTGTTTATCTGTATATGTTAAGTTCTTTCCCTATACTTGAATGTTTTCTGCTATTATTTCTGTGAACACATTTTAAAAAATGCTATATATGCTGTCTTTTGATTTTTCACAAGTTCCAAATAAACTTAGTCTTCTTTGTATCCTCTAGCAGCTGCTGAATCCATTCTCTCTGTTCTCTTGTTTTTAAGGTATCTTTAAGTATATGGAAACATGCATGAGCACTATCTCCTAGTTCTGATACTGTTAAGTTGGTTTATCTCCTAGATTTGTTTGGTACATTTTCGTGTAATTCTTTAAAAATTGGTTCTTTATGTTTTGTATCACTTTGTTTAGCTCAGCTAGCTTTTTATTAGTGTCTTCTATAAGCTTGCTATCATTTTATCAAGTCCATTATCTGTTTAGTTATATTATCTTTGTGTTCACCAAGAAGCTTACTGATGTGTGTGTGTGTGTGTGTGTGTGTGTGTGTGTGTGTTCTGGTCTCCTCTTTAGTCATTTGGTACAATTCAGCTATTTGGCTTTTGATTTCCTCCTCTCTGATGCCCTATGGGTCAGCTTTGGAGCCATTCTGTTCCTTTTCTCTCATGTTTCTGGGTTTTTTTTCTTTATTTTGAGGCAGCGTCTCACCGTGTAGTTCAGGGTGTCCTCGAACTATGTAGCCAAGGCTGGCTTCAAATTTGAGATGTTACCCCTGCCTCAGCCTTCTAAGTGCTGCAAAGTACAGGCGTGCACCACCATGCCCAGCAATTTTATTTTTTTATTCTTTTGCTGAGGTTTACAAGTTGATTATAGTGGAAAGATTTTGAACTGTAGTATTGTTGATGACATGAAGACAAAACAAATATTGGCATACAGAAAAAAAAAATAGCAACAACCATGTGGCCCTGGCAATAGAAATAAAATCAGCAATAATAAAGTCAAATATGAACTGGATAACTATAAGAACCAAAAAAGCTACCACTGTACAACCCTGAACAATAGAAAAGAGATCTGTTAACTTTAATATAAACACAAAGACAAACCAATATTGACACACAGGAAATATCTACTAATGCCACAACTAAATCACCATTAACAATAGAAAAGAATTCAACAATAATAGCACAGAGTCAACTAGATATCTCAAGACTAATAAAGCTTAATAGTAATATAAAGATGGCAGGAGTGGGGAGGAGGAAAATGAAAGAAGTAAAGTTTGAAAAACAGCCGGGGATTTAGCTCAGTGGTTCCACCGCCTGTCTCACCAGCCCAAGTTCCCGAGTTCGATCCCCCGTACCAAAAAAAGAAAGAACAACAAATGCAAAGTGAGGAGAGAAAAATAAAAGTAAGATGTTACATATTTTCTTTATTCATTTCATGGTACAAACAATCACTAAAACTATTACAACTGTAGGACTTCTGGAGTATAGCCAAACAAAACGCATCATTTTCAGATTTTTAAGTACGCAAGGTGATATTTTAATTTTATGGTTAAACAAGTGAATGACTACACAATAGATAATTTTTTAATGTGATAGACATTAAAATGCCTCACATGGATATTATATATTCAAGATTATTTACATATTAAATTTCATTAAAAAGAAATTAGCATCAAAATGTACAAAGATTCTACCAGAAAATTGAAAGAAAACTTTAATATACAAAAGGCCCATAATTGGCTTCTCACTGCAATATGCATGTTACAACTGACTCACAACAGAGCATTCTCATCTCTATTAGGAGACAAAAGTTAATTCACTTTCATATTATATACGCTACATGTCACTGAATAAAAGGCAGATCATGATTTGATCTCCATACTATACCATAAAATCAAAATGGAAAAAGCAAACTGCTTCGAGATAAGTTTTAATATCTCAGAGAAGAAAAAATTTAGAAAGAAAAAGTACAATGTTAGCCAATATAATACTGGCAAATACACCAAAATTACCAGTTTATAATAAGGCTAACCATCTTTACAACCCTATTATCTAAAATGACTAAAACATGACAAGCAAGTAATTTTTTTCCAATAAAAACACATGTGTAAATACCAAATAATTTCTCTGGTGTGAGAAACTGAAAGTGTAAATAAGGATCAAAATGTATACTAGATAATGTGAAATAAGAAGAAAAGGTCCAAAGGGGAGGGGTAAGGGAGAGGGGTAGGGGAAAGGAAAGAAGCGAAAGGAATAAATATGAGAAAAGGAAAAAACAGAAACAAAGTCTTTGTAAATAGGAAGGGGTGGAGGGGGTGAAGGGAGGGCAGGGGAATGGGGAAAAAAATAAGAACCAAGATATATCATGTAAAGGTACAATATTCCCAATGATGAATGTCATCATATTGTATCCCTAAAATGTACCAATAAACTTAATGGATTTTAAAAAATGGATATATTACTATAAATACATTTAAAAAAAATTATAGTCCATGGGAAAAAGAGATTCATATATAGAACTGTACATGTCAGGTCAACTGCTGAAATGTAATTATGAATCCCTGTGACAGATGCATGTGCATAAATATAATACATATATACATATCCCTGAACAGTTAAAAATACATTATTTATAAATTAGTAATAAATATATGAAAAGATGTATTCTTCGCTCATAACTTAAAATGTTCAAATTAAAATATTTCTTCTTATCACCTTAACAAAGTTTAAAACACTGGTAATACCCAATGTTAATCAAGTACTTGGAAGATAACTGGTATGATTTTTAAAGACTAGTAAAAAACCATCAATTAAAATTAAACATAAAGAGGTATGTATATCTGTTGGCCTGGCAATTCCATTGTTAGTAATTTAGCACTCCAAGAACATGTTTGTTTATACATGGATATTTGCTGCAACAAAACCTGAAAAAAAGGTAAATGTACATAAATGTGGAATTTATTTAAATAAATGATGGTAACATCTACACTTTAGAAAAATATGTGATTATTATGTCAAAATGATACAATACAGGGCTGGCAATTTAGCTTAGTGGTTCCACTGCCTGCCTTGCAGGCGTAAGGACCCGAGTTTGATTCCCAGTACCAAAAAAAAAAAAAAGTGACAATACTACATTGCTAAAGTTGACAGATCTATAAGATAATGTAATTAAAAATGAAAAGAATTTTGTATAGCATTATCTCACAGGTATTAATTTACAAAAGAAATGTATATCCATATGTGGATAAACCATAAATGTGAGAAGATAAACTACAGTGATTAATTCTAATAAGAAAGTAAAATCAGTGCTGTGGGGATCAATTTTTATTTTCATAGATTCAAGTTTTTAATTTAAAATATTTCTTTCATGTTACATTCAAAACCAAGAATAACTATAACTATTTTACTTCTTAGCATGTAAATTTCTTATTAAACTTGTTCATCTTTTATAGGTAAAATATTTACTGCTATCAAGTATTAGTTGAACACATTCAGCTAATAAGCAATAAGAATTGATTGCCAATTACTGAAAATTGATGAAGATCTGCAACATTATCACAGCCTTTCCAAGACTTGTAATCCAGACACCTAGAAAACAACTTAGCCAAGAGAAAAGGAAGAAAAGCTCTGAGGATCAAGAAAGAGGCGTCAGAAAAACTACAAATTACAGAGAAACTGAAGGAACTCAAGACAACAAAGAGAAAAGAAGAAAGAAATTTGGAATGCTAACCCTCCCTCCAGGAAAAGGGGACTTATTCCCAAAACACAAGATACAATAAGCCCCAGGGAGAAAAAATGGACCAGCAGCTCTAGCTCCATAAGCTGGTTCCTGAAACTGCAAATAAAGTGTAGGATTTATTCTGATAATGACTTTTTCCAAATGGCAGGGTAGAGTTGTGGAAGAATTCCATTGCAATGCCCACTGTATTGGGGAGCAATTAATTAGGAGCCATTATGGGAAGGGGTTCACTGTTGGCACACACAACTTCATAAAACAAAAACTACCGGAAAAAAAGGTCAGACAAACACCAATGCCATCATAGCAGGGGACTTCAACACCCCACTCTCACAATTAGGTCAACCAGACAAAAACTTAAAGAAATATAAGTATTCAACAACATCACTGAATAAATGGACATACCTATATAATGTTTCATCCAACAACAGAATACTCCAGTTTTCTCAGCAGCACATAGAACTTTTTACAAAATAGACAATATATTAGGCCATAAAGCACAACTAAATACAAAAGAATTGAAACAACCCCCTGTAGACCATCAGAGTATAGTACAGTGAAACTAGAAATCAGCCAGAGAAACTACAGAAATTACATAAACACATGGAGATTAAAGAATACATTACTGAATAATCAATGAATTAATCGGGGAAGGAATATAAAAGTTCCTAGCATCAAATGGAAAACAGAAGAACAAGATACCAAAACCTATAGGACACAAAGAGGTTGTAAGAGGGATTTTTATAGCTGTGAATGCACACATTAAATAGTTGTGTAATCCTAAATAAATAACCTAACGATGCATCTCAAGGTCTTAGAAAAACAAGAGAAATCCAAATCTAAAATTAACAGAAGAAAACGTAAAAAGATCAGAACAGAAATTAATGAACTTGAGATTTAAAAAGTAATACAAGGAATCAATGAATCAGAGTTGGTTCTTTGAAAGGATAAACAAGATTGATAAACTCCTTGCCAAATTTATAAAAAAAGAAAAACCCATGTCAATACAATTAGAAATTAAAAATTAAAAAAATTAAAAATTAGAAAAAACCCTGTAACTGAAAGTGCCCAAATCCAGATTATAAGAAACTACTTTGAAAACATACTCCAATAAAGAGCAGAACCTATAAGAATGAAGAAATTCCTAGACACATACGAATTACCAAAACTGAACCAAGGAGACATAAAAACTCTGAATATAACAAAAACAGGTAATGAACTTGAGGCAGTACTGAAAGTTCTACCAACATAGAAAAGTCTAGGACCCAATGGCATCATCACAGAATTCTACTAGAATTTCAGGAAAAAATTAACAACAATATTTCTCAAACTCTTCAGTGAATTCTAAAGAGAAGAGGGGTACTGCCAAACTCATTCCTGGCAGCTAGCATTACCTTGATACCAACACTGGACAAGGACTTTATCATAAAAGCAAATCTACGGGCCAGTCTTCTTAATGTAGATAGACTCAAAAATTCTCAACACAATACTGGCAAACAGAATGCTACAAATGATTAAAAAGATCATAACATGACCAAGTTGGGTTTATCTCAGACATGGAAGCATGGCTCAACACTTATAAATCAATAAATGTAATACATCACATCAATAAAAGCAAGATAATAATCACATGATCAGCTCAATAGAAACAAAAGAGCCTTTGGCAAAATACATCCATTCAAGATAAAAATCCTGAAGAAAATAGGTATACGATGACCTTATCTCAATCTGATAAAAGCCATATATATGACAAACCCGCTGCCAACATCACAGTTAATGGAGAAAAAAATTGAAAGCTTGTCTCTAAAATCAGGAAGAAGACAAAAGTGTCCATTCTCACCACTCCTGTTCAATATAACACTTGAAACTGTACATGGAACAATCAGACAAGAGAAAAAATAAAAAACAAAAGGAATACATATAGGAAAGGAAAAAAAAATCTATCCTTATTCCTAGATGGCATGATCCTTTACATATGACCAAAAAAACTCATCCAAAAAAATTCCTAGAATTAATAAATTCAGCAATGTAGCAGGATATAAAATCAACACAAGAATCAGTAGTGTTTCTGTACACCAATAATGAACCCACTGAAAAGAAATAAGGAAAGTAATCTCATCCACAGTAGCATCAAAAAATTAAATATGTGGGCCAGGGATTTAGCTCAGTGGTGCCTCCACCTGCCTCACAAGTGGAAGGTCCCAAATTCAATCTCTGGTTCAATATATATATATATATATATATATAATTAACCTAACCAAGGAAGTGAAAGACTTTTATAACAAAACTAAAGTTTCATATCCTGGAACAAAAAAAAGAGACACTGAAGAGGACAGATTTAGCTCAGTAGTTCTGCCACCTGCCTCACAAGTGCAAGGTCCCAAGTTGGATCCCTGGTCCCAAGTTGGATCCCTGGTCCCAAGTTGGATCCCTGGTACCAAAAAAAAAAAAAAAAATGGAAAGATGCCCCTGTTCCTGGTGCAACCAATACTGTCAAAATGGCCATATTATCAAAACTGATACATAGATTTAGTGCAATCCTACTTAAAATATGAATAGCACTTCTTCACAGAACTGGGAAAAAACCATCCTAAATTATATATGCAACTAGAAGAGACTCAGAATAGTTGAAGCAATCCTGGGCAACAAGAGCAAAGCAGAAGGCACCATAGTCCTGGATTTCAAGTTATATTACAAACCACTGGCATAAAACAGACATCAATCAATGAAATAGAACAGAGGATGTACAAAAGGGGCCAAAAGCATACACTAGAGAAAACCTCTTTAACAAATAGTGCTGGGAAAATTGGTTATTCACAGGCAGAAGAATTAATTTAGACTTGTATCTCTCCTATGTATTAAAATAAAACCAAAATGGATCAAAAGTCTAGATTATTAAAACAGAAACAATGAATCCTCTGGGAGATAAAGTGAGTAAAACTCTTGAAGACACAGGCATAGGCAAGAACTTCCTGAGCAGTACCAACTGCACAAGAAATAACATCAAGAATCAACAAAATTTGATTATATCAAATTTAAAACCTTTTGGGGCTAGGGATTTAGCTCAGTGGTTCCGCCACCTGCCCTGCAAGCTCAAGGACCCAATTTCGATCCCTGGTACCAAAAAACAAATAAAAATTTAAACCTTTTGCACAATAAAGGAAACTAACAAAGTAAAGAGACAAACTATAGAATGGGAAAAAAATTTTGCCAGCTACTCCTCAGCTAGAGCACTATCAGAATATATAAAGAACTATAAAAATTGGACTCCCCCAAATAAAAGAACCAATAAAAAATGGAAAACTGAAATAAATAGATACTTCTCAGAAGAAGTACAAGTGGCCAATAAATACCTGAAAAATATGTTCAACATCTCTGGCCATTATGGAAAAGCAAATCGAAATACTGAGATTCCATCTTACTCCAGAAAGAATAGCCATCATCACAAACAAAAAACAATGAATGTTGGCAAGGTTGTGAGGGAAAAAGGAATCGTTCTCCATTGTTGGTAAGAATGTAAACTAGTAACTGGGTATGTGGATTCCTCAAAAAAACTAAAAACAGAAATTTCATTCAATTTAGCTATACTTTTTCTGGATATCTTCCCCCAAAAGTTAAAGACATCATATTTCAGTGATACATGCATACTTTTGTTTATGTTTTTATTTATTTTTCGAGACAGTGTCTTGCTATGTATTCCAGGTTGGTCTCGAACTTGTGGTGATTCTCCTGGGTCAGCCTACTGAGTGCTGGAATTATAGATGAGTGCCACCTTGCCCAGCAACAGAGCCTTACTTAAAGCAGTACAATTCACAATAGCTAAATCTTGGAAATGGCTCATATGTCCATCAACTCATGAGTGGATAAAGAAAATGTAGTGTATACACACAATGGAGTACTACTTGGCCATAAAGCAGAATAACTCTGAGTCATTTCTAAGAAAATAGATCCACCCTGAGACCATAATGTTAGGTTATATAAATTAGACCACAGAAGGTTAAATATTGCAGAGTTTCTCTTATATGAGAAACCCAAAGTATAAAAAATTTGAAGAGCAAAATAAAAGATGATAGGAAACAGGGGGGTAGTCCTTTTGCAGATAGGAAGGGGATGTAGGGATGGAGAAGAGAGGGAGGGGAAGTAAAAAGGACTAAGATTTGCTATGTATCTGTACCAATTCCTCAAGATGAATGTATTCATTATGTAATACAAACATAAATAAAAGCCTTTTTTTTTTTTTTTTTAAAGAGTCTCTTAAGTTGCAGGGAACCTGCCCTATCCAGCTCTCACCAGGCACATTGGCAGACACCGGAGAGAAGTCCCGGGTCACAGGGAACCCGCCCCATCCAGCTTACACCCATGGCAGCAATCCACTTAGCCGGGAGGGTGCCTACAGCCCCCCCCCCCCGTTCCCCTGGCCTCTTGGCTGTACAGCCATACCACAATACCACAAAGACACAGGGGACACCAGATCACCAGACGACCGTACTTGTTAAATTGGAGGGATCGTCACCTCCCATTGGATTCTGGAATATCTTCCCGGCAAGAGCAGCTGGAACCTGCAGTAGAGCCTTGCAGAGTTCAATCCTACAGAAGGACAGGGAGCTCAACTTGGAACTTGCAGCCAGAAATCTGCCTGAATCACATGGGTCTGTGACTGGCTTGCTGAGACTCACTGACTTCCATCTGCACACTGCTGCCCACATTGTCTATTGTGACAGCAGAGACATACCCTGAAGGAGGCCCTTCATTTTCATTTTTATTTTTTATTTCCAAAATTAGTATCATTGGTTTGTTTTTTTTCTTATTTTTAATATTTTTCCCAACTCTTTGCAAATTTTTGTTTTTCTCTTCTTTTTTTTCCCTTCTTTCTTTTCACTTTCCATTCCCTCTCTCTCACACTCACTCTCTTGCTGTCCTACATTATTCTTCATCTCCCTTTTTGTTCCTGTTCTGGCCCTAATTTGGTTTTCTTTTTTCTTTTCTTCTCCTTTTTCTTCTCTTGCCCTTGTCCTCTGGCTTCACTGCTACCTTCCCCTATCCTTCTACCTATCTATCCCTCCCTCCCCAACTCTTAACTCCCCATCCTGAAGGGTAAAGTATTGAAGAGTTTATTCATTATAATCATATGTTGGGTTGGTCCTCGATTTTGATTTAATTCACACAGTTAAAGGTGATAGATTAATAACTACCACAAAATGTCATTTTCTAAGATGTACTTGATGCTATGGTGTTGCTGACTGTATCACTTGGGCTAAGGTGTTGTTATTGATCTAGTCAATGGTCCTTCCTGGTATAATGAAAATGAGATAGTCTCAGAGTCATTAGAGACTTGAAACCTAAAGACCAACTGTATCTGGAAGACACCTCTGAGAAGCAATCATTCCATAATGGTTCTAATTACAAGCAACAAAGATGCTTACAATAAGCAATTCTGAAGTATCAACCCAGGAATTAAACCAAGGACAGTACCAAAAACAAAAATGAGAAGACATTTAAGCAAGGCACAAACTCAGACTTCCACCCGACCAAGGGTAAACTCTGGGGAAAACGAGGTGGAAAAGTCCAATATTCAACCACCTGGACACCCTGAACTGATAGCACAGGAAGTAACAAAACAGATGAATGAGGCTCTAGAAAAAT